TGTGTGTGTGTGTGTGTGTGTGTGTGTGTGTGTGTGTGTGTGTGTGTATGTGTGAGTGTGTAGAGCTTGCCTTTTCATTTATCGTCAGTACCTACACTTAGGAAATTCTGAATAGCTGACTTTTTTCTCTTATTTCTCATTTGCTTGGAGCTCACCTTAGACTTCCTCTCAGGAACATGATATTAAATAATTATATGTATTAATACATTATATAACCTAAAATGTTGCTAACTTTCGCTACAGAAGGATGTCATGATGTTCAGTTTTTGTAGGATGCATGGTCTTGTTTTTTAAGAACTAAATATTATCCATGAGGGGAGGGATATTTTTTTCTCTGCTTCAAACACTGGAACAGCATCGCAGATACCCAAAACTATGTGCTTAGTCAAGGTTTAAACAAATGAAACTGCTTTACTCGGCTTTTTCTTATTGTATCTCTATGTTTACAAACATATATCTCCATATTTATATACATATTATTGTATCTCCATATTTATATACATATTATTGTATCTATCTCCATATTTTTGTAATCAGTGGACAGACGTATATGTATCTTTAAGAGAAACAGTTTTGAAAAAGAATATATAATCATTTAATTTTACAATATACCATTGTTTCTTCTAGAAGAGTTACTTTCTTGGTAAAGAAAACCATTGCCTTTAACTAATATTAAAATGAGAGGTCTTTATCTCACATAACAGGAAAAAAAATGGCTGTGCATCTTTGGAGATTACTTTATTCACCATGTTAATTTTTGTAGAGATTTTAATATTTTTTTTTAAAAGTGACAGAGAAAACATTTTTAGACCTGAAGAAGTGTCTTCAATCTCAATGGGGCGCTTCTGAGCTAAAGATAACTGGAAACAGCAGTGAGAGGGGCAGGGCTTAGCTTGTCTCCATGTGCTCACCACGCTTTCATTGGCCACCCGTGAGGCTCACAGGGTCCTCTGGCCAGAGAGCCTTGCAATGGCATTAGCTACCTCACATCCTGTGTTCAAATAAAAGAAGTAAGAGGGATGCAAGGCAGTAGCTTTTGGAGCTGTGTGAGGTTTACAGTCACAGGAAATGCACTGCCAGGCACACTGATGGAGGCTTATGGTCTCCTTGAAAAGGCCCTCCATAGCTTTGAGGTTTTGAATAACCAGGGTTCTACTGGTATTGCCCTCAGCTGCAGGTGTGGCTGGCAGAGTCAGTCTTTAACCGTCTTCTCCTTGCTTTATTCCTGAGCAGGTGTGCCAAGGCTGCCACAATGCCATCGACCCAGAAGTGCAGAGAGTGACGTACAATAGCTTCAGCTGGCACGCGTCCACAGAGTGCTTCCTGTGTTCCTGCTGCAGCAAGTGTCTGATCGGGCAGAAGTTCATGCCCGTGGAAGGGATGGTTTTCTGTTCGGTGGAGTGTAAGAAGATGATGTCCTGAGAGGAGAGCCCTGAGCAGTATTGAGCCGTAGCTGTCCAGAGTGGCCTGCATTTCATGATAAAATGCAATTTGAAAAAAAATAATAATAAAAGGAAAAAAAAAGCTATATAGCAAACCAGAATATCTTGTCCAATATTTTCCTTTTTTTAAACCTTAAAATTTTTGTCTGTCTTATTTTTAAATGATCGCTTTAAGCATGTGATTAAAAAAATAAATAAAACAGTAAAGAATTGTAGCTTTAATTTCCACACATTAAATTTTTTAATTGGAAGCTTGAATTTAATCAGTCTTTATAACTGCATATTCCTAGTGCCAAATAATATATATATAGTCACTTAAAAATTACTGTCTTAGGAGCGATGAATATTTTGGCTTCTATGCTTCGATTTACATAGACAATGTAAAGGAAATTAGATGTTGCCTGATATGACACTGCGCCCTTAGCCTGTCTCACTGATGTGTGATGACATGCTGACGCTCAGAAGTTCCTTCTGGCAGACAGGTGGTGCATGTGGGTGTTCCCACGCCTAAGCCTTTGCATCCCCTTGCTGAGGCAGAGGGTCCTCTTTCTCACTGCATTCCACTGTTTACTCACCTCTCAGTGCTCTCGTTTGCCATTTTGTGACCTCCATCTGCGGCCTTGAATATTTTATATGTATGTGGTTGGAACAATACGTGCACTTTGCTCTTAGAGATTTTTTTTTTTTTGGTCCAGAACATAAACGTAGGCTATTCATTTAGTTTGAAATCCAAAGAATATGTATAGGTTTTATATGCTGAGAATTATCACTTGTGCTGATGGCACTTTCCTGACATTCTTTGACTCAGTTTTGTGCATGATTTTCAGTCTTACCTGATGGATATTCTCCTGTGCTACCTCTAAGCTTGCTGTAGACACACAGACTGTCAGACTGTCTTCTTTGCTTGTGTACTCCCATCATTGGGTGTTTTGAATGTTTTTCCTTTGTATGCTTTTATACATAACTATGCACTATTAATATTAAATGGAATGACTGTTATATGTAACTCAAAATAAAGTCTCTTTCACTTTAATAATTGTCCTTTTCTTTTTTAATTTATTATAATAAATTATTTAATTTATTCACTTTGTATCCCAGCTGTAGCACCCTCCCTCGTCCCCTCCCAATCCTGCCTGCCCTCTCTCTTCTCCCATGTCCCTCTCCCAGTTCACTGATAGGGGAGGTCCTCCTCCACTTCCATCTGACCCTAGTCTATCAGGTCGCATCAGGACTGGCTGCATTGTCCTCCTCTGTGGCCTGGTAAGGCTGCTCCCCACTCAGGTGGAGGTGATCAAAGAGCCAGCCACTGAGCTCATGTCAGAGACAGTCTCTGTTCCCATTACTAGGGGACCTACTTGGATGCTGAACTGCCATAGGCTACATCTGTGCAGGGGTTATAGGTTATATCCATGTGTGGTTCTTGGTTGGAGTATCAGTCTCAGAAACAACCGCTGGGCCCAGATTTCTTGGTTCTGTTGCTCTCCTTGTGGAGCTCCTGTCCTCTCCAGGTCTTTCTATCTCCCCCTTCTTTCATAAGATTCCCTGCCCTCTGCGCAAAGTTTGGCTGTGAGTCTCAGCATCTTCTTAAGTATCCTGCTGGGTAGAGTCTTTCAGAGGCCCTCTCCTGTCCTGTTCCCTGTTTTCTTTCTCTTCCGCTGTCCATCCTGTTAGCCTTTCTGAGTGAGGATTGATCATCTTACCCATGCTCCTCCTCCTTGCTTAGCTTCTTTAGGTGTACAGATTTTAGTATGTTTATCCTATATTATGTCTAATATCCACTGATAAGTGAGTATCCTTTTTGTTGGGTGAAAAAAAAAAAAAAAACTTCTGCAGTTAAGAATCTAGTACAGCAGGGGGCACTGTCTCCAAGAGTGAAAATAACCCTGACACAAGTAAAGGCTGCTTCTGACAGGACACACAAATTGGGTTTCTCGTTGCAGAGTGAGTTTCCTGAAGCTTTAAACCAGGACTTTTTAGTAACACTTAGGCCATGCAGGAGATTCTATAAAAGGTGTCATTATTTTAGTTAAACTTTTGAGTCAAGTATTGCATTTTTAGTTGCTTTGAGAGAAAGTTTTTGTTTGTTTGTTTTGTTTTTGAGATGAGGCGACATCTCACTCAGACCTAGCCTACCTTAAACAATCGATGCTCCTGCAGCAGCCTCCCAAGTGTTAAGATTTCAAGTGTGTCCCATGGTGCCTCGCTATAAATACGATCTTATAGAATTTCCTAGGGATTTTTTTTCTGCATTCTAGCTTATTAGCAGACTCTGTGTGTGTGTGTGTGTGTGTGTGTGTGTGTGTGTGTGTGTGTGTGTTTTCTTTAATCTGAAACTAGTTGTGTTGTATTGTTTTGTTTGGGGATAGGGTCTCTTGTATCTTAGGATGACACTCAGAATCACCATGTAGCCAAAGATGGCCTTGAACTTCTGATCTTCTTGCCTTTCCCCACAGGCTAAGAACACAGCAGTTCTTAGCCCTGTGAAACACACACAGCGGTTTCCAAATGCCCTGTTTGTGCTGTGCTGTTGATCAAACTCAGAGTTTTGCTGGGCAAACACATCCTGGCCCCCTGAGTAGAAAGTATTTCTGTCTTAGTAGTTTTCACTTTTCTGACACACACTCAGGATGGTTGGGTTTGGACTTTTGTTTGTTATTAACTTTTTTGTTTTACTTTATTCTGTCTTCAGTTACTGTTGAATAATGTTCTGTGTGTTACAAGCATGCATGCATGCGAGCGCACGAGTAGATACATAAGTACTTGACAAGCACACTGCATTCGCTCTGCATTCGGCCTTCAGTGGAGAAAAGTACCTTTTGGAGTTTGAGCACATAGAAGAGTGTGGACAGTAATAAATCCCATTCTGCATACAATATCCTGGTGACATAAGTCTTTGCCTACAAACCTCACTTTTATCTTGGCCTTGGTTTGCCTTAAATAGTAAGAGATATTTTCTGGTCCATTTTGACTATAAAATTTCATATGCTTCCCAGACATTATCAAAGTGAGAGTAAAGTGGAATGGAGCTCCCTTCACACTACCACAGCCGACTCCGTCCAAGTCTGCTGGGCTGTCCCTATGCCTCCGGCTAAGACACAATAAGGCTGGCACTAAATATGTCATTCAGTGAGAGAATGATCACAAGGATCCCTCACAACAAATGAAGTGTGCGTGTGGCATAGATCCACTAGGTCTGGCGCTCCCTTGAATAGTTTCAGTTTGTCCTTGTGGTGAACAGTCATGAACTCCTTGGCTTAAGAGGTTCTTGAGATACCTGGACATTTTTGTTGTTGGTGTCCCAGTTTGCCTCTGTGGCTATGATAAACACTGTTGCCCCAAGCAGTTTCTGGTGGGGGCATTTGGCTTAGAGGTTACAATTCCTTAGTGAGGAAAACTAAGGCAGGAACCTAGAGTCAGGAATTGAAACATACCTTGGAGAACTGCTCAGTTAGCTTTCTTACGTAGCTCAGACACAGTAGCCTAGGAATGGCACTGTGTGCTGAGCTCTCCTACCTCAGTTAACAGGGAAGAAAATCTCTCTCTCTCTCTCTCTCTCTCTCTCTCTCTCTCTTTCTCTCTCTCTCACACACACACACATACACACACACACACACACACACTAATAATGATAAAATGCCTCAGACATGCCCCCAGGCCAACTCGATGGAAGTAATTTATCAATTCTTCCTAAGTGACTATAAGAAATATTCTTTCAAATTACTTTATCCTAATAAAAGAGTAAATGCTAATTATATGAGATCATTTTTTTTCCTCTGGTACTAAGGATATACCTTCCTTCCTGTTGTATGGCCATTTCCTCTGAATAGAAATTTTCCCTTAAGGAAGGAGAGAAAGAACCTTGACTAAAGATGTTAACAAATTTTACTAGTTTGAGAAAGCTGAAACTTCCTGGGGTCCAGGAAGTTCAAAGGGAAATGCTGACTCAGCATTGGCTTCTGGAAGACATTCAAGTGATGCTCTTGGTACCCTTCCTGGAGGGTCACACAGGAGAGGGTGATCATGAACTCCTTTGTGGGGGCCGCACAGACACTGTTCATCACTAAACAGAAGACCCTTACAGCCCTGGATGGTTTTGAGAAATTGATAGGATACTTCGGTACACCTCCACTTAAGAAATCCCAGTCAGTCTAAGCTTGTTGGCCTTCACACTTGCGACATGTTATTTTTATCTTTTTAAAAGACTTTTAATTGATTCTTCATGAATTTCATATCACGCATCCCAACCCCATTCATTTCCTTGTCCTTTCACATCCCCCCTCTATCCTTGCAACCTTACTCCCCAAAAGAAGAGTATAATAATATAAAAAATAAACAAAACAAAACAAAAATTTCACCATGGAAGCTACAGTGTGTCCTGGTGTTTCACACAGTATACCGTTTACCCAAACAGCTTTACTTGGAAATGTTCGTTGCAATGAGGCACTGATCCAGCTCTAGGCCTCTGGCTTCTTGCTATGCTCTCAATACTGGATCCTCACTAGGTCCTCTTGGACATCCTGTTATTGTCCTGTTTCATGGAGATCCTGCAGCTTTGGAACTCAGCACCTGTCCCTTCACACACTCCAGGAATTCATGGGGTAGATGTTGGGGTGGGCCACCTCAAAGCCCTGGATCTGGGCCTAGGTGGCAGTTGAGTTGATCAGCTTGCCAGCCTCCCTGTACCCACACTACTGAGCTATCCAGGTGAGGTGGGGGATCTTATTTTTTTAAACTAGAGACTACAGATCGTCTCTTCTTTAATAAGCCCTGGGTGAACCACAGTGACTGAAGTCTTTAAGCACAGATTTCCAAATTGACTCAAGTGTTTTAGATGAATTTCACCAAAGGCTAGAGATTCAGTATTGAGTCATTCTGAAGCAATTTGTAACACGTACTGTTTAAGCTCTTCCAGCTTCACCATGGTTACCAAAGAGACACCACCACCCAAGAACACTTTTAAGCTCTTGTTTCAAAATGCCCTGGCATATCTGAACTTGTCTTCTGAGTTTGTCTGTAATTCTTTAGAAAACTTATGACTGTCCCTGGCTCCACAAAACACACACACACACACACACACACACACACACACACGCACACACACACTCTCTTTGTAGCCATTTCTTACCTGCTACCCTCTGCCTTTTCGAGACCACTGGTAATGGCTCAGTGTTAACTCTGTTTTTTAATATTTTATTAAGAAATAGTTTAGATACATAGTAATTTGCTGTGACTTTACTATCAGAAAGTTTATAATCATGCAAAGAAACAATGCATTTGCACTACAGTTTGATACCAAGTCTTGATGCCAAGTCTATTTAGTTTTGAAATACTATTTTGTTAGTGCTGAGAAATTTTATACATATATACAACAGTTGAATGAAATAATATTTAACATCACTTTATTGCATAGTGAGAGGTTTATACTTCATCATTCACAAACCTTGGGTTTGAACCTACTTGCTTTTATGAGGGATATCCATGTATATACACATATATTAGAATAAAGACTGTATATTGTGAGTTTTGGTGCTTTTATTATTGTTTTTCCTTTTCATTCTGTTTTAGACCCATTTCTTTGTCTTTTTTTAATATAGTGTCAGAATTCCAGAGGATTTATCTTCTGTTTTCCATAGGATAAATCCAGGACTGAAATGCTTATCTCCAACATAATATTAACAACAAAATATGTAAACTGATGCTTATATTTAAATTGTGTTTACATATGAATTTAGTTATAAAAACAGACTTTAATAAATGCTTTCATATGTAAAAAAGGCCCAATTTCCTGTGTTATATAGATAGATAGAGGTCTGAGTGCATAACCTGACAGGTACTGTGGCTTGATTAACAGGATTTTTTTTAAGGTTTACCAGATGCTTAAATAACTATGGCTAATTATTCTGTCCTTTCCTGGGGAGCATGTCATTGTAGTTTCTATTTAATCTGATAATATATTTTGAAACACTCAAAACAAAATGCCATTAACCTTTATAGTTGTTTTGAATGGCATTTTAAATGACATTTGTAAAGGCTGCT